TCATCCGTGGATCTTGCCTCAAGTAATTATTACTTTTGTGTTCGATTGCCCTCATTACTTCTATATTTTTTATTTGGAATTTTCTATGAGGAAAATTTGTCCTTTTTCCGTGATTTATTATTTAGTTAATAATTTGTTTATGTCAATATGGACTCGTGAATATTTATTTTATTCTTTGGGTTATAGTCAGTACTATCATTATTCTGTTACCCAAATTATTCCAGCCTTGGCCATTGGGAGCTTTATCAGGTTGGCTCCAGTGTCCCTTCTTTTTTCTTAATTGAATTAATGATATTTTAGGACAGTTTTAGGTTTAAAGAAGAATTGAGTGGAAAATACAGAAAATTCCCATATATTCCTTCACCACCATCCCCACCTCCCCCAGTTTCCTCTATTGTTAATATCTTGCATTAGTGTGGTACATTTGTTACAACTGCTGAGTCAATATTGATGCATTATTTTTAGTTGAAGTTCATAGTTCACATTAGCATTCACTCTTAGTGTTTTATGTTCCATGAGTTTTGACAAATGTATAATGACATGTATCCACTCTTACAATACCCTACAGAGTAGTTTTATTGCCCTACAAATCCCCTGTGCTCTATTTTTCATCCCTCCCTCCTCCTAGCCCCAGGATCTTTTTATCGTCTCTGTAGTTTTGCCTTTTCTGTAATGTCATGTAGTTGGAATCATACAGTAAGTACGTAGCCATCTTGAACTGGCTTCCCTCACTTGGCAGTATGCATTTAGGTTTCCTCCATGTCTGCTGTGGATAGATGGCTCATTTATTTTCATTGCTGAACATTTCCATGTTTGGATGTACCATTGTGTCTTTACCCATCCCCCTATCCATTTGCCTACTGGAACATCTTGATTGCTCCCAAGCTTTGCAAACTATGAATAAACCTGCTGTAAACATTCACGTATAGGTTTTTGTGTAAACACAATTTTCAGATAAATTGAGTAAATGCCTAAGAGCACAATCACTTGATCATATGGTAAGACTATGTTAGCTTTGTAAGAAACCACCAAACTGTCTTCCAAAATGGTTATAATATTTTGAATTCCCACCAGGAATGAATGAGAGCTCCTGCTGCTCCACATCCTTGCCAGAATTTGGTGTTGTTGGCATTTTACATTTTAGCCATTCTGACAGTGTGTAGTGGTATTACTGTCTTACTGTAGTGGTATTACTGAATTAAAACAATTCATTCTTGTTTTAATTTGCAGTTCCCTAATGACTTATGACATTGAGCATCTTGTGTCCTATCACATGCCTCCATACTTTTTTTGGTTTTTTTTGGTAAGCTCTTTCTTACTTTCTGGCACTACAAGATGCTCCAGGCTCATCTTATATTATTTTTCTTTCAGTCTTAGAATCAGCCATTTCTCCAGGGAGTCCTGGCTCCTTTTATTGAAAAATGGTATTTAGAAGTCAAGATCTGGATGCTAGGTATGCTTAATATTACTGGGATGTCACTGCTTCCTGGTCCTCTCTGTAGACAGAGCTAGGAAATATATGTTTACACACATAACTATATTTATTTCTGTATCTGCCTGTATATATACTATAATCAATATGATTTCATACTAACATCTTCATTGTAATCCAGCATAGCAACTTTCATTCAGGACTCCCCCTTCACTCATTTGTAATTTTTTTCTCTGTCATTGAAAACCTTGGTTCTGATAATCTGCACTTATTTGTTTTGGTGCTACTATAGATGTAAAGCAGTTTTAGAATGGCTAACCTGCATCCCTGGGAAGCAAACTAATGTGAATACAGGGTCTGTGTACAGTGTTTCCTCTTCAGCCTTACACTATACAGTCAAAATACTGTTTTTCACATTTGTTTAGGTCAGCTTCTTTTTCCCCACTGAATTTGTTTTTATATTGTTAAAGTTAAGTAAAATCAAATGCAATACTTTATATTTTAAAATAGGATATTTCTTATCATATTATTAGAGTGTATTTCTCTACTTTTCTATTATCTATCAATCCTTCTATCCATATTATGCATAAAGCAATGTGTGGAGTTATATTAATCAAATGTTAATAATCAAATGTTGGTCTTGATGATTGGACTGAGGTGATTTTTTTGCATTATTTAGGTCTGTATTCAGTAATTAATTTTTATAATAAGCATATATATTATTTTTGTAGGAAACAAGGAATTTTTCTCTAAATTCAGGGAGGAAATGGTCAACAGGTAGAACACTGCTGAGCGGTAAAATTCATATTGGGTTGAGTAACCAGAAGGTCATTTTTGAGCCTGATGAGAGCCATCTTCACTTGGGAAGAGTGAGGGGTAGGAGCCAGACTGGCTGGAAAGAAGAATAACTGAAAGGCACAGACAAGGCAGGTGATGAAGTTGAGTTCTTCTCAACATGTAGCTTGCCTAGGAACCACCCAGAGCTTATTTACTCTTCCTGAGCCCCGACTACCAGGAGTTCAATTCAGCATGTCTAGGGTGGAGCAGAGAACTTGCTTTTCCACCAAATTCCCAGGTGAGGCTGATGCTGCAGTCCTCAGACCACACAGAGCCAAACTGAAAGTCTTTTGAGAAGACTGATTGGCTGTGAGGGAGGCAGGGAGGATAATGGAGGAAGTAGCTTTGTTTGGATTATTTTGTTATTGATGTCTATTTATTTTATATCTGCACCTAGAAGTGCATAATCCAAAACAAATTAGAGAAGTACAAAAAGAAACAGACAAACCAATAAATTTAGTGGGAGATTTTAATACACCTTCCTCAGTAACTTATAGAGTGAAGTGGCAAAAAAAACCTCAGAAAGTAAGTAGATGATATGAATAACATGATTAACAAGCCATGCCTGATGTATACAGAAAAATACATGAAATAGTGACAGAATTATTTTCAAGGACACATGGAATTTGCCAAAATGATTCCATGGGGGCCATAAAATAAGTTTCAAAAAAATTTCCAAAAACTGAAATAATACAGAGTACTGCCTGGTGTTTGACCATTGTGAAATTAATTATAGTAACAACAATGTTTTCCATTGTTTAGAATTTATTTAAAAACCCTTCTATTTCTTAACCTTTTATTTGGAAACAATTTCAAATTTACAAAAAAAAAGTTGCAAAACTAAAAATAGTGCAAAGGTCACTCAGATCCTCTTTTGGGGGCACTTTACCCCCGCTGGTTTTATCATTCCCTCCCCACCAAAACTCACACTCAGTTTCTCTGAGTTCTCAGCTGAGAGCAGCACTGGCTTACTAGCCATGTGAGTCCCTTGGAAGTGGATCCTCCAGTCTCCAGTTAAGCTGCACTCACGGAGTGTGTGTGTGTGTGTGTGTGNGTGTGTGTGTGTGTGTGTGATTGATTATATCCTATTATTCCTATTGGTTCTGTCTCTCCATAGAACCAGGCAGGGCGGCTTCAGGTTGATGAGGACTTTCTCCGGCTTCAGGTTGATGAGGACTTTCTCCTACTGGCTACTGCTGATTATCTTTCAAATTTCACACTTCCCTGATCTCCCAACACCCAACAGACCCCCTGTAGTGCTCTGCCTCCCCTCTGTCAAGATCCCTGATCACACTGAATTAGCTTTGTCTCTTCCTCATCTGTCTGTCTCCCTGGGCTGGCTCAGCGCTTTGTCCGTCATGGTATCTCTAGCACCTGGTCCTGCACATTCTGAAGTCAGGAAGTAAGTGTTTGCTAACTGAACCAGTGTGTGAACGCAGGGCCTGATGGATGGGCCGCAGATTCTAAAGGGACTTTGATAATGGTGGAAATCCAGCACCCGCTCAGCCTCATTATTTCTGCCCTACCTCCAGAAGGTAAAATAGGAAGCCAGAGAAGCTAGAAGGCCTGCCCAGGTCACACAGCAGAGCCGCCCACTGACTGAAACTGCGGGAGAAACAAGATCAAAGGGGGTGGGGGAGGACAGTTGGAAGGTGGCCTGAATCTCTGCTCTGAGATGTCCCAGCACCCCACTGGGCCGGGGCACACTCCCCTCTTCTCCCATCTTCCCCCTCCACTGGCTGCAGGGAGCAAGCCAGCCCAGGGGCCAGAGGTGGTGGCCCCCGAAGTTTGACAACCTGTTAACTTAATCTTTGCCTGGTTTGAGGGGAGCTGGTTGTCACCTCATTTCCAAAGCAGCTCGGGGCTGCTAGGGAAACAGCTGGACTGGCCCAGATGTATGGCCCCTTCTCCCCTGCCCCAAGCAAGTAGAAGGAAAAGGACAATTGAAAGGAAACGCAGAGGCAGGAAGGCATTTTCCCAAGCCCTTGCTGGGGCTGCCCTGGGAGGGGGAGGCACCCTGAGGAAATCCCCTTCAATGGATGTTTATTTTAATGGGAGGTGAAGGGACAGGGGCTGAGACAACCCTGGGGATGGGGAGCAGATGCTGGGGCTGGGCCCGCAGATGGGCGTTTGTGAGCTTCCCAGAGGCTGTGCACGGAGCGGGTGTGTGGCCCAGAGGCAGGAGGCAGACAGCAAGGCCAGAGGCAGCTGGTGCTGAAGCCTCCACCTCAGGGTGTAGGGGGAAGTGGGTGGAGGGCACTTACTACTTGGCTCCTTCTGCACACCTCCAATATCCCCTGGGGCCCTATGATGCTCTATGCTAGGAGCTGGGCAGATGCTGACCAGCCAGTCCCGCCCTCGGGCAATAGGGGAGTCCATGGTAATGGGGGTGGGTTAAGCACAGGGGCACCCAGAGGCACAGGGACTGCAGGGCACAGGAGTAGTCCCAGAGGGCACAGAGCAGAGAGCCTACCCAGGGCTGCCCCAGGGGAAGGAGTTCTCAGGGGGCCTGTCCTCACAACCAGGCAATGGCCAGGAGAGCAGCCACAGCCTCAGTGTCTGGAAACCCAACTGGATACTGAGAGCCCCCTCCCCCAGCTTCTTTGCCCAGGTGGGTCTCTGTCATCCTTGATGGAGCTGAGGACCCTCCCTGTGACCAGCCTAACCCTAACATTCTTCAGGGCAACACTGCTATCCCTCCCACTTCCTCGTTCAGTCCACAACTCCTTACCTTGAGACACGCATGGTAGGGTTTTCAAGTTCAAAGCTGGTGCTTCATTCCTTTGCTCCATTCACTCAACAGATTTTCATGCAGCATCTCCTCTGTGCCAGGCACTGTTCTGGGTGCTGGGGATTTGTAATGAACAAATTAAGAATCCCTGTCCTTGTAGAACATCTCTCTATGAGATGATAGAGATGATAAAGAAAGGAGTAAAATATCTAGAATGTCAGGTATTGCTAGGTGCCGTGGAGGAAAATAAGGCCAGGGTGGTCATGGGGTACTCATTGCAGTGGCCATATTTCTCTTCATTCTAATGTTGAGAGGTGCATCTGTACAGGCCCAGATCTAAGTGAACTACATACAGGCTTCAGCTTGCTCCATCCTCACCACAGGCCTGAGGCTACCACACCTGCCAGCAATGACAAGCCGCTGGAGTGGGGCTACCCCTCAGTCCTCACCTTCAGAGTCTGGTCTCAGGGGGAGACAGACGAGGAAATGGGCCTCCTCCAGCCATCCAGTGAGGCCCACCTGGGGGCCTCAGCACAGGCTCCTGCTTGGCTCAGACCCAGGAGGCCTTCACTGATCAGAGGTCTTGCTGAGTATGTGGCTCTTGTCTGCTGAGAGCCCCAGCACTGCCCAGGTCCCAAGCCTTGTAGGGATCCCCCTGCCCGTGGTCAGCAGCTATGCAAGCCATGAGCTCAGGAGAAAGAATGCTGGAGGGGAGTCAGGAGGCCTGGGTTCCAGCTTGGGCCCCCATCCCTGGGCTCACCTGTCTTAGCGATCTGGGGTCCCTTTACTTCTCTCTGTCTCTCTTCTAGTCTGTGGAGGAAGGAGTTTGGCCAGTTGATCCCTGAGGCCCTGCAGAGTCTACAGCTTGGTTTTCCCATAGGCATTGGGTGCTTTAGCACTGACTGTACCCCTGGGACAAGACAAGACAGCCTCTCCCATGAATCCAGATTCAGGAGGAGCTTGTGATTCTTGGCAGTAAACTGAAGGCTAGAGAAGGAGGGCAGCTGATTTTTCACTGGGGTACCATCAATTAAAAAACTAAATAAAAAATTTTAACTTAAGCCTTTCCACATTTCCTCCTCTTCCAAAAACATCAAGACTGCTTAGGAAAATAAAGGCTGATGACCTGTTCTGGGGTTGGCCTTGCTGACACATGTCAGGGCCTGACGCATAGCAGGAGCTGCCACCAGCGCCCTCTGCATTCGCTCTCATGAGCATGGATTCAGCTGCCTTCCCCACATACACACCTGCTGGGGTTAAGCCCAGAGCTGGGACACAGACGCCCTACTTGATTCCTCTCAGAAACCCCCTCTCACCCCGTTGCACACACACAGACACACACAGATACACATACACACCGACATATGCATACACACAAACACACGTAGACACACAGACACACAGAAACACATACTCCCACCCCACCCTCTGGGGTGCTTTACACATCCCTTAGTCAGTGATTAAGACATATTTGCTAAATAATAAATGAGTGCAAACTCTCAGATCCAGGAAACCAGAGAGCCCAGCTGGGCCTTGCCTGTCTGCAGCTCCCTGGCCTCCCAAGCAGCCTGCAGTCTGCTCAGAGGCAGAGACCTTGCAGAGCTGGAGCATGGGGCAGGAAGAAAGTGCAGAGCTGGTTGTCTCCCTGGGGCTGGCCATGATGTTTCCTTTGCAAATTTCAGTACTGGGAAGCTGGCATTGAGTGGGAATATCTTGGAAGAAGCAGAAAATGAAGACGGAGCTATGTCCTGGGAGGGGCTTCTGAGAGTATTGCTCTGGCCTGACCTGGGAATGTCTCTGATTCCTGTGCTCCTCCTGCCCCTAATGGACTCCCCACCCACCGTTTGGCAGGGCCTGTGAGCACTCTGGGTGCAGACCAGCCAGTACATATGTGCAGAGACTAGCAAGTCTTCAATCATATCTTCTGTGATCTGGCCACCAGGTCCAGCTGAGCTGCTCCCCTGCTTAATTTGAACTTGATTCTCTCCAGATGCAATGAGGTACACAGAGAGAAATCATCAACCCACATATATCCTGTCTGGGGCACCTCTCTAGAGTAAACAGCTCCCAGTTGAGCTGGCTGTGGGGGTTGGCGGATGGAGGGGTGTGTGTGGGGGCATGGACTGAGCATCAGATGTTGCTGAGATGACTTGTTGAGGGCAGGTAAGGCCCAGTTCTGGCCCCAAAGAGTGTCCCCAACCTGCACCTGAGCCTCAAGGCTGCTGCTGCCCCAAGAGGCACAGGTGGAAGGTTCAAGATGGAAGTTGTAGGCATCAAGCTTCCAAATCAGATTCCTGGTGGGGGAGGATGTGAGGGAAGAGGTACATCTAAGACAGAAAATTCTATCCAGCCCTGGAAGGCCCTTTAGGAATCATCTTATCTAGTGGTTTACAATTTGAAGTTTTGTGTACCCAGTTAAAAATTACAAAAATAGAAGGCGGGTTTCTGACAAGGTTACCATTACTAGCCCTTATTTCATAAAGGAAATAGCACTCTTTAAGGTAAAAAATGTAAGGAGAAGGTGGGCATGATTACAAGACAATGGGCAACTCTCTACATGGAAAACTGGACTTTCTGGAAAGCTCAATATACAATGCTTGTTTTTCTTAATTGGTAATAAAAACCTCATCATTAACTACCTCTAGTGGGTAGCATGTTGTTGGAACAATGTGGAAACTGAGGCCCGGAAAAGAAGTGATGTCGGAGGTCCCGTGGTGAGTGGGCAGCAGAGTAGATTCTGAGTTCAGGGCTCTTTCCACAACGTTAATTTCTCAGAACTAGGTGGGCTCCAAGGGCTTGGAGGGATGGGAGCCTGGTCCCTGCTAGAAGCCTGGAAGGGTGGCTGTGCCTAGAGCCCTGGGGAAGGGGAGCCTGGAACCCAGCTCTTCTCAGCTTCTCACAGTCCCTTGGGACCCAATGTGTAGCTTCAAACACTTGCCTCCTGCCCAACAGCCAACAGTTCCTCTGGGAATGCTCTGTGCCCTCAGCTGCCAGCATTCCTGGCATGATGTTTCTCTGGTGCCAGGAGGGAGGGCACCATGTGTTCCCCATACGCCACTGGGGTGGGAAGTTTACACTGAACAGCTGAGCTGGCTTCTCCTACTTCTTCCTCTAGCAGGCTTCTCTGCCTCTCTTCTCTTTGTCTTCCTCAAGAGATCTCCTACTCCTGACCAAGGAGGAGATAAAATAGTATGTTTTATTTGCAAAGCATGTTTTCTTTCCAAAGCATGTCCACATTCACTGGTTTCAATTAAACAAGTAACATATATGGGGAAAATGGAAGTTTCTATGGCCAGGATCCTTACCTGACCCTAAGCTACTTGATGATGTAATTGGCCTACTGCTAGGCTACTGCTCCCACACCTGTTAGCAACGAGCTATTATTGACCAAATCACTATATAAAGAGCTCCACCCAGTGCTCTGGGTGGAGGCAGAGACTGAGGTGGGTTGTGTACCTGCAGACTGCTGGATGCAGGCATGGTTCTAGTACTTGACCTACCACTGTGAGAATAAAGCTGGGTATAAATCCTTTTACCCCAAGAACACTCCATTGTAATTTCTTGGTCTCACTGAATCCATAGTGAATTTGCCTGGGACTGAAACTCTCAGGCAAGACAGCATACCATAAAGTTAAACAAATCAAACAGGCATATACCCTGCAGGGACAGGTAAAGGTAAACTCCTTAGAGGATAACCAGACTTCTGTCTCTCCATCCATTTGTTTACCCCATCACCCATCTGTGGGGAAGGTGGGGTTCCTATGGCCAGGATCCTCACTGAACTTAAACCACTTGATGATGTAACTGACCTGTTGCTAGGCTACTGCTTCCACACCGTAGGCAATAAGCTATTACTGCACTATATAGAGAGCTTGGCCCAGTGCTCTGGGTGAGGCAGAGATGAACAGTGCTTGACCTCCCACAGGGAGAACAAGCCGGGTAATAAACCCTTTCACCCCAAAGAAACGTTCTACTGTCATTTCTTTGGTCACACTGAATCCAAACTTGCCTGGGGCTGAAACCCATTGGCAAGACGCCATCCAACCTACCATCCAGCCTGCCATCTCTCCATTTCTCCATCCATCTTCCTCCCCTCCATTCTTCCTGCCATTCATCTCTCCCTTTCTCTTTCTACCTCTACCTCTAGAGGTAGAAATTTCTAGAGATAATTTCTAGAAAAATCTTGAGGTAGAATTCCTCTATTCCCTCTCTACTTTTCCATCTCTTCATCCCTCCATTTTTCCATTCCTCCATCCTTCCCACCACCCAACTTTCTACCCCTTTATCCCTTCACCTAGCCCATCAGTCATGCTTCCCTCTCATCCTCCAACCATCACTCATCCATCCAACCATTAATCCCTTTAGCCACCCACCCATTCAACCACCATCCATCCACCCACCCACCCATCCATCCATCCATCCATCCATCCATCCATCCATCCACCCACCCACCCATCCATCCATCCATCCAGCTCTCTATGCCTCTCTCAATCTCTCCATCCCTCATTCCTCCATCTACTTTCCACCCTTCCACACTTTCATCAGTCTATCTCTCCATCACCCCACACCTTCCTCTATCCTTTCTTCCATCTTCCCCTCTCTCCCTTCTCCATCCATCCCTTCCCCCACCCCCATTTCCTTCACCTAGGCAACCAGCCCTCCATCCATCTCCATCCCCCTCCATCCCTCCTCCCATCCTCCTATCTCTCCATCCTTCTCTCCACTTACCAGGCACTACCACTGTGCCCCCTCAGGGGACCTGCATGCTACACACTGCGGTATCGCAGTAAATGTTTGTTGAATGGACCTAATGGCACCCCTGCCTTTCAGAGCTTACACTACAGTGAGGGTCAAGTCCACAACTCACTCCATCGCACTAAGTCTGCAGCTGGGCCTGGTCTGTGCTTGGGAAGCAGGTAGAGAAATACTGGAAGGATGCAGCTTCTATGAGTACTTAGAGCGAGCTAGGAGCCTTACTTGTGCACTCTCTTAATTCTTCATAGTGTTCCTATGAGGAAGATGTGATTTACCCCCATTTTGCTACTAAGCAACTGTGCCCAGAGGCCCTAGCATAGGAAGAAAATCTGAGGGCACCTCTGCCCCACCATCAGTTCCACTTTGGGGATCAAATGTGTGGTGCCTTTTCTGGTTTGACTATAAACCCCTCCTGCAGCAAATCCTGTGTTTCACCAAACAGCCCACACCTCAAGGCTTGATGTGTTTTGTCCTGCTTGTTCCCCCATCCTGAAACATCCTAGTCATCTTCTCTAGCGGAAGAAATCCTACCCCACTCTCTAACACTCATCTCCAATAATGCCTCCCTTGGAGGCCTTCCAAGATTACCGCCCCCCTCCATTTATTTCAGCAAGGCTAATCATTGCTTTTTACCCTCACACAAAACTTTATTGATTTCCACTTCACACACACTGCATTCTTCACCCTGTCTGAAGGTGTGTAGGGTGAGGGATTGTGCATCTGTCTTCTCCTTCTGAGCTCTCTAAGTGGGTTGGGGACATGCTGAGTCACCTTGGTCCCCCCACTACACATAACCTAACACCAGAACATGCAGAATGGACAAGCAATAAATATAGTTGAACCAGATTTATAACCAGGGGTGATATTAAAACTATTTACCAACCAGTAGAGCATGGAAAACCAGTCAGAAAATAAAGAAACAAAAGAGCATCATCCTACCTGTAATTTCCAAGGGGCTCAACTTTTGGCCCAGCAGCTCCAGACCTGATGCCTTCCTCAGCCTGGGAAAGAAGTTGAGATGTGGTCAGTCTCTGGGGAGGTTTGGAAGAAGGGCACTGGCTGTGAACCTGGGAAGCCCAGGTTTGATCAGAACATACCTGACACCTCCTTTTCTTGCCTTTCCTGTCCTACTCCAGCCTGGGCTAGGCCATACAGGCATCTGGGAAGGGAGGAGGAGAATCTGGGAAGCAAACATTAAAAGCGAATGTGTAACAAGTGCTACATGTACTCTAGGGGCCTAGAATTGATGTGTACAATCTCATTTAATCTAAATTACCCTCTGGGGTGGGCACCATTGTTAACCCCATTGTACAAATAGAAGAATGAGGCTCAGGAAGATGAGACATTTCCCAGACTTCCAAGCTAGGAAGCATATAGCTGGGGTTGGAATTCAAGCAGTGGGATTCCCCAGGACCCAGTGTGTCAGGACAGCCCATACTCCTGGCCTGGCTCTGCAGTGAGCTGAGAGGGAACCTGGGTGTAGAATTGCGTGGGTCCCTTTTAGGACAAGAGAAGGGTTGGCTCCCCGGGCCTGGGACAATCAGAACAAGAGTAGAAACAATGACATCAGGCCCACTTCCTTCCTTGTCTGTGCTGCATTTGTGGTCTTCCTTAGCTCTCAGTTCTCATTTCATTCTCATGGTCATTTGGCAGATGAAACAACTGAGGCTCAGAGAGGCTAACTGACTTATCCGGTTGCATCTCTGGGCAGTGGCCAAGCTGAGGCCCAGCTGTGTGGCTCCTGCTTATTACTTCTTGCTGTCTCTCTGCTGTTGACGCATGAATATCTATGTCTGGCATGCACAGGTACACTGGGAGATCACAGGGCTGTGGCCAGAAGGGTGATCCGGTCAGCACTTAAGGAGGAAAAAAGGACCACTGACTCCCAAGCCTTAAAGGCCCCGGCTTCATAAGGAGCCCCTGCCCTGGGAACTCCTGTCCAGTGCCCCAGGCAGGAGTCATCTTCCCTCCCAGTTACTGGACCTGGCATTGCTTGGTCAGAGGGACATGCTTCTGTGGCTGCCTTCCCCAGGAGGGCAGGAGGAGTCAGGAGCCCCCTGCTTAACCAACCTCATGTGTCCAGGGCCTGCCCAGGGCAGGCACAACAGATTAGTGCCACCCCTGCCAGTCTGTGTGAGTGAATGGGTGGAGATGGGTAGTGGGGAGGAGACAATGGGGACAGGGATATGGGAGGGCAGCAGCCAGGGAGAAAAAGAACCGAGTGCCCAGATTTTAAGTTTCTTCTTGGGGACCCAGAAGCTTGGCCTGAATGTGGAATGCCTTCCCCACACTTCTGGCCTCTCTTATTTCTCAGCCTCCATGTAGTTTTCTGCCCCTAAGATCTTGCAGCCAATGGCAGGTGAAAAGAAAGAGGAAGCAAAGTTGGCTGGAAGCAGAAGTGGTTTTCCTTCCTATGGAGTTTCCTTCCACTTCGCTCCAGGTTGGGGAGAAAGGCAAAGTCCACAAACTCACAGGGCTCATTGCCTGCATCCCTGCAGCCATCCCCTCCCCACACCCCAGGGTCTAGTAGGAACTGAGCTGGAAAGCCCTGGAAAAATAGTGGCAGGGATGCCATTCCCTGGGAGGCAGGAAAGCCCAGCTCTCCGGCCAGGGCTTAGCATGGGAATTTCCAATACTGCTCCTCCCCCATCACTGCTCTGGGGTCAGAACTGGGGAGGCCAGAAGGGAACTAACATTCAGCAAACCCATATGTGACCATTTATGTCTCATGCGGTCTTCACAATAACCCCACGTGTAGAAGTCTATCCCCCTTTTACAGATGGAAATCTGAGGTTCAGCAAACTTACACAACTGGAGAGCAGTGTGGGTGGGATCTGAGCTTAACTGTGTATTCTTTCAAAGCCTGTCCACCTGTAGGAGGCAGATGCAAGTCGCTCTAGGTTGTGTACTTTCTAAGGGATTCTGCTGCTTATTCCAGGCCACCAGCAAAGATGGCTCTTTGCCCAGGTTAAAGTGAATCAGATGGACCTTCTCTGAAATTTCCTGGAGAGTCCCATTTCATGTCACTCACTTGACGCCTCTCACTGAAAGTGACTCTGGCCACTACAGGGGATCCTCTGAGTGCGTGGGTTTGTGTGGGCAATGCAGATGGCCTGAACAGAACTTCACAAGGTCAGCCCCGCCCAGGCTCTGCAATAGGGGATAAGACTCAGGACCCACGGTCACTGGAAGGTGGCTGCAGAGGGACTGTTTCGCCAGTGGGTTTCAGCCCTGGGTAAGTTCCCTATGGATTCAGTGAGACTGAGGAACGACAATGAACATTCCTGGGGTAAAAGGGTTTATTACCCAGCTTTATTCTCTTGGCAATAGGTAGAGCACTAGAATCATGTCTGCATCCAGCAGTCTGCAGATCTGTAATCCTCCATCTCTGCCTCCATTCAGAGCACTGGGCAGAGCTCTTTATATAGTGACTCAGTCAATGATAGCTTATTGCCTACGGGTATGGAAGCAGTAGCCTAGCAGCAGGCCAATTAAATCATCAAGTAGTTTAGGTTCAGGTGAGGATCCTGGCCAGAAGAAATTGAATTTTCCCCACAGAGACCATCCATGGGGATGCCCTGTGAAGGCTGAGCAAGGCAATATGGACTTTGTACAAAGAACTGTGCTAGATTTCAGTGGATTCTAGATTCAGGAGAAGGGCTTGTAAAAGGCCATTTTTGCAGCCACATGGGGGATTCAGCTGGCTTTTTGGAGAGATGTGACTGGAGTCTGGGGCTGGGGAAGCCATCACTGGGACCTCCGCACAAGCTCCAGGCCCCGATAGCCACCCTCCAAGGCCAGGAAGTTGGGAAACCTGGTATCTCCTGTATCCTTTGTAAAGAAGGTATCCTTTGTGCTAATGCAAGTTAGCTGTAACTTTGGACAGATTTACATATAGGTATATTTGGTTTTAGCTGGGTGTCCAACCCAGCTCTCTGTGGAACCCCATGACACAGTTCTGCCTGTATGCTCATGAGTCCTGCTACCCATAAACCCACTTAGAGAACACAGAAAACACTATCTTTCAACATCTGCCTGTTTGAGGGTAGAAAATGCCCTGCAATGATAGAGTTCCATTAGCCAACTGTTCTACAGCCAGAGCCCCAGGTAGGAAGGAGCACTGGAGCCCAGAAGCAGGGGAGGGAGAAGGAATGGGGGAGATGGCAGCCCCAATCCACCCGGCTGTTCAAACATCCAGGCCCCCTCCCTCTTCCTTCCAAAGTCCTCAGTCAGCACTCAGCCTGGCTCACAGCCACCCTGGGTCCCTGCAGTAAACACCTTATAGAGATTTTTTTCCAGCAGACAGGAGGCATCTCTCTAAACCTCAGAGGTTAGACAGCTGCCAGCTCTGGAGAAGCCACCAGGGTTGGGCAGAACATGAAATGGAAAGAGCGGCCCTGCTGGGCTCCGAGGCAAGCATGGGAAAGAGCATGGGGGGAGGTGATAGACTAGGGGTGTTGGCTGCAGCCACCACCCCATCTCACTGTTCCCATGTTCTCACCTCTAGCCATTATTCACACTGGCTTCTCCTTCTATCCCTTCTCTCTGAGTATCAAAATGCTGCCCATTTTCAAGGCCCCCAGGAAAGTACTTCCAGATGGAGATCATCCCTCCAACCTCATTGTTTCCTGGGGCCCTGGTCATTTTCTCCCTCATATGGTGGGTATGGGTGCCGCTCATGCCTGCCTTCCTGCAACCCTTGAGGCCAAGCTGTGAACTGAGTCCTGCCATGGAATCCCAAGAGGGTGCCTGCAACAGGGCCGTGGGGAGGAGCAGGAGGAACTAATGTTTCCTAACTTAGGAATTTTGCATTTGCTAATACTTTCCTTACTTAGCTCCTTAATCCTCACACCAAAGTGTTGAAGAAGGCACTGCTTTCCACATTTTATGGATGAGGCACTTGTAAACACTATCTTTTTTATTATTCCCATTTTCTAATATTCCTGGGACATAGAAACATACTGGATTTTTCTATGTTGATTTTGTAGCCACCTGCCCTGTTAAATTCTCTTATTGTTAAATTCTTTTGGGTTATCCATGGAACAATGAGATCATTTGCAAGTATTTATTATTTTTTCTTTCTTTCCAGTATTTATATCCTTTGATCTTTTAAAAAATTTGTTTTATCTTATTTTCTGTCTTACTGTGCTGGCTGGGACCTCCAATATAATATTGCCTAAGAGTGGTATTAGCAGGCATCTTTGTCTCGTGCCTGATTTTAAAGGGAATGTGTTCAGTCTTTCCTCATGCTTTAATGTTTGCACCAGAGTTTCTGTAGCTACTGCTCACTAGGCTAAAGAAATATTTCTTCCTCGTTTTCTAAGACTCTTTTCATGAATGAATGTGCAAATTTATTGCACACTTTTTTCTGCATCTGTTGAGATTATTATATAGCATCTGTCCTTTGATGTGCCAAATGTGGTGAATTACATAGATTTCTTTTCCAAAGTCAAACCAACTTTGCATTCATAGGATAAATTGAATCTGTTATGACATGTCATCATTTTTGTTCATTAGAAAATTCAGTTTGCTAACATTTTGCCTGGAGTTTTGTCTCTATGTTCACTAGTGAGATAGTTAGCTTTTTCATCGTGTTGTGTCTAGCTTGAGTATTAAGGTTTTACTCATCTCATAAAAATGAGCTGGTAATTATCTTTTTTTTTTGACCTCTAGAATTTTTGTGTGAGACTGGAATTATCTGATGCTTGACTGTTTGATAGAATTTGCCTGTAAAGCTGTCTGAGCCTGGTGTTTTCAATTGTGGAAAGTCTGAAACTTCATATTCAGTTTCTTTTCTTGTTTTTTGTAAGAATTTTTTATTAAGGTATTATTGATATACACTCTTATGAAGGTTTCACATGGAAAACTATGTGGTTACTACATTCATCCATATTATTAAGTTCCCCCTGATACTCCATTGCAGTCACTGTCCATCAGTGTAGTAAAATGCCACAGAGTCACTACTTGTCTTCTCTGCACTACACTGTCTTCCCCATGACCCCCCTGCCAACACCATGTATACTAATCATAATCCCTTCAATCCCCTTCTCCCTCCCTCTCCACCCACCCTCCCCCACCCCTCCCCTTTGGTAACTACTAGTCCCTTCTTGGAGTTTGTGAGTCTACCACTGTTTTGTTCCTTCAGTTTTGCTTCACTGTTATACTCCACAAATGGGAGAA